ATATTCCAAAGCAATGAAAACAAAACAAAATGAAAACAGCAGTGATCAGAGATGTAGAGACGGTACAGGGCACCGGTGCTGGACTATGCACACTGGGTTAAATTATGAATCGCAGTCTGATCTGTTAATACCTTCTAACACATAATAATTCGACTTCCATATGCTATGTTTATATATTATGGTTTTAAATAACAAGAACTAGGGAACTTGTATGATATTTACACTATTTCAACCACCAAATTATTTCCACACAAGCTACAATTTTGAGTTAAATCTAGACCAGAAATTAAATGCTATGTCATTCACAACAATTCTCCGCTTTATGAAAAAAAAAAAAAAAAAAGCTTACAAAAGAAGGTTATGGGGTGAAAACACACAATTACAACAATGTTTCTGCTCAAGGGGGGCTTTTATACTCTAAAAACAAGCACTCAAAGTTTTTGTTCAGGTTATCAAGATTTATGCTTGGTAGGTAAACAGAGTACAATTTTCACACAGGTACGATGAAATATTTACTTTCATAGGCCTTTGCTTACACACAATCACAATCAAATATGCACATACTAATTGTCAGGAACATTATACCCAAAATACGCAAGAATAGAAAATGCCTTTAGAAAAGCGATAATAGTTTGAGACAACAATGACATCCTAAATGTCAGCAACTATACAGCAACCCACTTTAAGTTTGCATGAAAATAAGCGTTAAGGGAACTTGCAAGGCCGGAAAAATTGGCAATCACTCAAGCCAGAGGAAAAGTATCAAATTAAGAGTACATATTAGCTATATTAGAAGCACATCTCCAATAAAAGTACACATATTATTAAACCAAAAATATTATATTAGATGATTAAAATATGTAGACTTATTTTGACCACAGACACACTTCAAGATCAAATAATTCTCAGACTGGTTGTTGCTATTTCAGTTTGCATTCTCACCATTTTTAATTCAAAATATCTATGAGAAAAAGCTGCAAAAACTGCAAGGACAATACAGCATCTTAGTTTCCATGGCAACCAACAGATGCAGAAATTTCTATTATTCTAGCCGTCTGTATTTTATTTACTAATTTCACACAAACCAGCAATGCCTCACAGAAGGTTAAGAAATCATAACCAAATTTCGAACCAAACTTTTGTAAGGTTCTAGATTAACATTGAATGACGCAATAATACTGAGAAATGGACACAACAATCGTGTACGGAGATGAAATCAACATTTAATGACTATCGGTTTCTAAATCTGTACATGTAATAATCAATATGTACCACATGAAGAGATGTTTATCAAGAAATCTCGGTTATTATTAGTTTATGTGGGCACTCATTAACCTTTTCACCACAAGTTTCCTTTTTTCATCATAAACTCACAAAATAGTCCTCTTTATAGTCTGCACTTCCCTTCAGAAGATTGGGACGAAAAAAAAAAAAATTTGTTGAGTAAAAACTAAATATTGACTAAAATTTTGTCTGTTGGCTCCAAAATTCGGGTTCATTTCCAAAAAAAATTATGAATATAAGAAAAAATTGGGGCAAGAAAGTATGGTGGTCAAACATTCTGATAATATGAAAGGTAGATTTAATATCAAAGTAATTTTATTTTTCTCACAAAATGCAAGCAGTACATTGTCCATGAAAGTCCAAAAACAGATTAACATGGCACAATTTGTGGTATAATATCAGGTATTATTATACATCTGTCACTGTAACGCCATAAGTTACATTATTATACATCCGTCACTGTAACGCCATAAGTTACATTATTATACATCCGTCACTGTAACGCCATAAGTTACAGCGTGCTGTACTTTTGCAGTATTTTACAGGGTATTTTCATCCTACCATATTAGGAAATGCGATTACGTGCGTAAGCGTCCTCTAATAATAAAAACAAACATGGCAGCCCCAGGGTTTGACCGGACTCCATATACAAAGAAAGTTTCACTGGTCACTGGTAGCATAGTGGTTGTCGCTCCAGACTCATGATCGGTAGACCCAAGTTCAAATCCTACCATAGGCTGAACATCAAAGGGTCAACCCCTATCCATTCCAGACTCAATGGGAAGGCCAATTCCACTGGCCGAGATTCATTCACTAACGAATGCGACTTTGGGGGAACCTTTGTTAAGGTCCGCAGGTGCTTGTGTTCGACCGAGCCTGGTTGACGCCAGGATAGCGCATTAAAATTGCCATTTGACAGAGAGATGGCCACACAGCCCTGTCATGTAGTCCCAAACATGAATATGACTTCTGTGGCAAAATGCACTAGGTGTCGTCACTAGCACTTGCAATTTGCACATACAAAAAAAAAAAAAAAAAGTCAGGAGAGACAACGGTGACATTCAA